CCTTCTTTACTTCTATGGGTGTCTTTTTTTCTTCCTTTTACCTATTTCTGTATTTTTATATAATTGTTAGCATAAAAATGTATTCTGTACAACAACGGGAAATTTATATGTGTTTGAGTGTTTAAAGTGACCGAGCTTTTAATGTGGGCTTCTGTGGAAAAATTGTGTCAATATATTACCTGTTGTAGATAGAGCTTTGAACAACCTCATTTTGGAGAAARAGAGTTTAAATCGGACTGGATTGGTGAGCTAAAAGTTATTCAGATAGAAAGGTTATAATATTACTGCAGGAAGCATCCCCAGGCTAAACCAGAAATGCTACAGCTAGCTGTTTTWGCTTGCAAATAACCATGAAATTATATGCAAATTAATGCAGTATTAACAAAAATGCAAAGATGTATAATACAACAATTGCACGAGCCTTATGAATTTTTTAAAAACTTGACTTGTTTTAGGACGGCTGTGCTCCACTTTGGTCATTCAAAGCACTATCTACACCAGGTAAGATGTTTTTTAAGAGGTTTTTTTTTTTTACAAATTCCACTTCAAAACATCCYAACCATGACTTTAAGACTGTAGAAATAAGACAAAAGTGAAAGTTTACGGCACAAAGGAAGAGAAAGATGATTGGTGAATCTGTTCTGTTTCATGGGATTTATTAACAGGAGGAGCAGAAAGTCATCAGGTTCTTTTTCTTCCTTTTAAACCAATTATAAAGGGGTGGCTTCTGTTCTGAACCAGCTCGTGCATTGATCACAATTGGCCCTTGCTCACCATGGCAGACCACTTTTCACAGTTACCGCTGTCTGACCGCTGTTGATGCTGCATGGTTAAATTGGAACGCACGTTTTCTGAGCTAAATCAGAAGTAATCATTGCAGAGGAGGCAGAGCAGATAGTGCCCTGTAGACTTTGGTAAATATCGCAGATAAGCTGGTTCCTTCGAAAGGCCAGGGTCAGACAGACACACACAAACAAACACACACTCATGCTATCTATGTGTATTGTTGATCCAAGAGTCCCTCTAGAATCTGCTAAATGGGCGAAACAATGAATAAACCCAGCAGTGGTAATCAGTGTTTTTTTTAGTTAAAGTGCCTGTATGACTGAAAATGATGAGTCATCCTTACAGGTCAATGAGTAGCAGGTCACAAGACCAGCAGTTCTGCTGCTTATTTATTGCATAACGATACAACCTCTTGATCCGGCTCGGGCTGCACCGAGTTTTCCTGGAAGCAGTTTCTCCCTGTCATATGTAGAAACTGATTCAAGGGTGTTAAAAAGATTCGAGGTATGTTTAACTGCTGCACTATTAAAAGTAGGTCCTCACGACTCACGTTTTTAAAGAATAACTCACTCACGTAACATTTATTCAGGGAGAACCTGAGCCGGTGTGGTTTATCTTAATTATTAGTCTAACTGAATACGTAACAAAAACCGATGCAATCAGTGTAACTCGTCTCATCTTTTCTGCAGCTATCAAAGTGAGCTACGAGCAAACGAACCAAAACAACCTGACAAGAGAGAAGTGAGCGCTGCGGCTGCACTCTCAGGACATGAAGTGGAACTCAGCTGTCAGCGCCTTCACTGCCGCAGCAGCAGCAGACTGATCTGTTAACAAAATAACTCCTGAACCACTACATGGATTTTATAGAAACTTTCAGATAATAATTATTGGAGATACATCTACAGCTCTTTTAGTTTAGAAGTGAACTCTATTTAAGATGGCCGCCACAGCTAATCAAACATACCAAGCACAAAAATGGCTGTATTTCTTTAAATTTTGTTTTATTTTATTTAAAAATGTGCATGGTGGTGGCAGAGTGTCATCTCCAACACATATTTAAAGCACTAGCAGATCACCCAAGATTCTGGTTTAAAGCTCTGCTGTTACCTGTTAGAGTGCACCTTATAAGTCTGTTAGCAAAATATCTCACAAACCAGCAAAGTGATTTTGATAAAACTTTCTTAAAGAGTTCACTGGATGTTCGTCTACAGCTTTCCAGCTTTTGGAACCAGCATAGTTCAAGATGCTTGTCAGAGCTAGCTGACCTTATGAAACACATACATAGCTATAACTCAGTCATCTTTACAGATGTCTAGCTGAAATTTGGGGTGGTAGTAGCTGAGGGTCATTTCCATCATAAAACCAGCAACAGCTTTGTTTTGGTGGACGATAGTCATCCCARCGATAAATGCCACATCTTTAACTTGTATTTTTCTACACTTTTCTGTTGTTTTCTTTCCTTCTGATCCGTGTACCTGTCACCGCCATTCCTCTGGCTCACCCAAGCTCAAACATGGGCAGCAGGGTGGGGG